ATATATATATATATATATATATATACTTTAAGTACGTGTGAAAAGTATAAATAGTGCTGAATGATTTCATCCACAACCTTCTTGACCTGTATGATCAATAACTGGTATACAGGGATACCTAACTGTGAGGTACATACTTATTTCTGCTGCTTGCAATTCTCACTTGTCTTCGGTCAGAACTGATCCAAACCATGGATTATCTGAAATAATCCAAATCAAACAGTCTCCTCCAGCAGCAGTCGAGTAGACAAGTACCACGTAAATCGTCTACTCACAGCCGTCTCTTGGATTTAACCTGCCTGTTAACTTCAGCCCCGGAGATTAGTAGGTAAGTGTACTGATGTTTGCTATTCAGCCAGCAGAGTGCAGACAATGCCAGTGTAGAATTATAATGACCACAATAGATGCGGTAGAGAAAATCCAGAGGATTTACCTTGGTTCCGTTCAGTAGAAGGAAGGGATGTGGGGTAGAATGAGAAAGGCTGTTGCACTGATTTCGATTGTCAGTTTGCCTTTGGTGTGTCAAAATGTGTGCCTTTGTGAATGTGTTGCACTAAATCCTTTTATGCTTACTCTTTGGAGAAGTTCGGATTTGTGTTTGCATGGGAAAAAATTTCAAGTAAAACTTGCTGCCCTCTTGTGGGTAAATCTAATACTGCCTGAATAGTTTCCACAGGAGGCGGGACATGACTTAATGTGTCAACTCTAAGAGTTTTGACAGAAAACATGAGAAATGTAGATAAAGTTAAAATGAAGTTGGGTTTTCCTCTTACACACATAAGCATGCATTGCTGATAACACAAATAATTGCATTTATTTGTGAATATCAGTTAAATATTTACAATACCAGCTTGTATGAGTTGTAGGATTGATTTAAACGTTGAGCAATTTAAACCTAATGGTCATACGTTTTTATAGGCTTTTCCAATATCTCATTTCTTTATGTTTTTGTGTTTCATTGTTCCTCTATTCCTGTTTTTACATCATTTTACTTAAATTCCTTTGCCTTAACCATAGTTAAGAACGCTGCTTGGATTACAGGAAATATTTGAGAAAATGACAATGGGTAGGCAGGAATAAGCAGATATTATAATTAAAGAACTTCAATGATAATTTTCTGCCAAGTTATTTTAAAGATAATATGGTTTGGGGGGGTCTCCTTATATCACATTTTTTGTTTTACAAGTCTTAGACCTTCCAACTTCTTCCACTGCAATCACCAAGCAGACAGATCTATACCGTGTCTAATCTATATCAGTAAAAATGTTTTTGTAGTATAGCTATCAATTAATGAGTAAACTGTAGGTCTTTAATAGCAAGACAAAGTAAGAGGAAAATGCAACTACACAGCATAAGAAAGGGAGATTTTCAGGTTGGCTAAAACAGTACAAAAACAGACCTCATCATGTACAGTAGCTATTTAAGGTATCAAAGGCAGAAAGTAGAAAAAAACATGAATCTCTTTTTGGGATCTTAAATCAAAAGGAGTCCCTGTTAAAATAGCATGAGTTGCTGATATGTGTACAACCATCAGACATTGCAAAAGATTAGTGCCCACTGCCTATAACCCTCAAAGTTAAGTAGAGGTTTTACCCTATTTTGGAGCAAAGATTTACAAAAACTAGGCAAACAACAGCATTTAACTTCACAGTGAAATGGAACAAAATCTTAGCCAAAAAGAAGGGGTAATAACAGAGCAATTCAACAGTCAACCTACCTGATTTAATTTGCAATAGAAGATTATACATTGTTTAATCCTCTTCAGCTATAGGAAACAGTTGTTTAAAAAAGGTGCTATGGTCATATCACTTGTTTTTCCACCTCCGCTCTGACCTTATTGCTTTTATTGTCTCAGACATTTATTTTGCTTGACTCAGCCTATCAATGTGTTTAAGAATGTAATGCATTTTTTTATACAATGCAAATAGTTCAGTAACGATCAGTATGTGTCATATGTTTGCAACCAACTGAGCAACATCCAACACACAACCTCATTCACATGATTCATATGACGTATTGGCATGTCAGGTGTATGTCTGATATTTCTAATAGAGAATGCTTCTAACACACAGATGACTTACAGGGGTGCTGCCATCTGACAGGGTCATCATGCTGATTGACATGCTCATCTTCTCAGAGGAGGAGAGGGAAGGTGGAGAGGGGCTCCTTTTCTCCACCTCCTGTCTCTGCAGAAAGTCTCGCCAAGCCCGCTGGATACTAGATAGACAGATGAAGACAAAAGACAATGATATAAGCATTTTAAAAAGTTTCACTTTTATCTAAAGACACACATTTTGCCATGGATGGATTTTAAAAAGTAAGACAAATTTAAAATTTTTACCTTAACTTAATGAGTCTGGAAATAATGAATGAGGCCATTAAACATTGCAGAGACGACTAAATGGATGGATGGAGGGACGGACGGATGGATGGATGAATGGATGGATGGATAGATGGATGGATGGACGGACAGTTAGATGGACGGATAGATTGAGGGATGGATGGATATATGGATGATGCATGGATGGATAAAAAGACGATGAATGGCTGGATTAATGGATGGATAGACAGATGATGGATGGATGGATGGATGGATGGATGGATGGATGGATGGATGGATGGATGGATGGATGACAGATAATGGATGATGGATGATGGATGGATGGATGGATGGATGGATGGATGGATGGATGGATGGATGGATTGATGGATGATAGACAGATGATGGATGGATGGATGGATGGATGACAGATAATGGATGGATGGATGGATGAATGGATGGATGGACAGATGATAGGTGGATGGATGGATGGACAGATGATGGATGGATGGATGGACATATGATGGATGGATGGATGGATGGACAGATGATGGATGGATGGATGGATGGATGGACGGACGGATGATGGACAGATGATGGATGGATGGACAAAGAGATGATGGATGGATGGATGGATGAAAGAATGGACAGATGGATGGATGGATGTATGGATGATGGATGGATGGACAGATGATGGACATATGATGGACAGACAGACGGACGGTCGGAAGAACAGTAATGTAGGGAGGGACAGATGGATGGTTGAATAGATGGATGGACATATGATAGATGAATGAATGGTGGATAGACAGATGATGGATAGATGGATGGATGGACAGGTCAAGATACTAACAATGTGAAAAAGGGAATAGGATGAAAACACAAAACGTTGTGTGGAAAGATTTTAACTGCTCTAAATCAAAGTTAAGAATCAAGTGAAATTAATTCATTTTGACCACTTAAAAGCACATTGATCTTTGTATCCCTGCCTAATGACCCAGTGCGGTGGAACACATGCACATGAGACATATTTGTTTTTGCTGCAATAACATAAACCTTTGGCAAGTCTTTTACACTGTATACTCACATCAAAGCCTTGGTGTCCATAGGAGGCAGGTTGATATTGATGTTGTTGTCTAGATCCATTGTCAGTTGATTACTGGTCCAGAGAGGAGAGAGGACACTCAGAGGACATGGGTACACAAGTTCAGTCTGGGTTACAAGTAATTAAATAGTGATGACTGAATCCCAGGAGCTGGAAAACTGTCCCTGTAGTTGTGTCTGTTTTCTGCACAAAGGCAAGCAGCTCATCCATTGTGTTACATTATAAAAAGAGTGTGTATGGGATTAAACCCACCTTTGTAGCTGAAGAGCTTCATCACTGACGTGCTTGTAACCCCCCTGGAGGCTCTTTAGCTGGTCCTGGAAGAATGAGACAAAAAAGAAAAAAAAAGAAGAAGAATGAAATCAGAGAATCAGAGAACTCGAAATGAGCAACTTCTCTCCTGAATGAATGAGGCAAGATGTGCTGTAATATTTTGAGCTTACAGATGTCTAAAATGTGAAAATCATAAAACAAGTCAACTAACCAATTGGTCATCATTGGTTTTTAATTAAAATACATGTACAATTGTTAAATATGTTGCTTCAACATTTGCCAAGCCTCAAACTGGGACGAAATTACAGAAAAGGCGTGAAGGATATATTTCATACATGGCACAGTTACACAGATGGGGCAGACAATTTAAAGATACAGTAATGCCAGAAAATGTTATGCTTTACTAAAATGACTTTTAGCTCTCCACTCCTTTCCTCATTAATAACATTCCACCCCCTGGCTTAGTGCTTGTGTTTTAATAGTGGTTTATAATGAGGACAGGCTGCCTCAACATAATTATGCAACCAAATTTAATAACCAAAGACCAGTAAAGTTTAAGTGAAACAGTTTATCCTGATATGCAGAAAGGTCAAAATAGGGCACCAGTCATCTACCAGCTTCCATTCACTGCAATTATGTGTGTTCCAGTCAAAAGTCAAAATCTTTATTCCTGCTAGGCTTTTTGACTGGTCTCTGCATTACGACCTAATCATTAGACAATATATGTGAGACATTTATTAGAAGGGAGATTGAGTAATAAAGAACGGTAATCAAAGAGAAATATCACAACTATTAGATCGATTGATCCTATTGAGATAAATGTTTACTCCAGTGTGCTCCCAGGTGCTTCATGATTTGGTCACTGATGTTATTTGTTATATGATGATATACAATACCTTACAATTTCTCAGTGTAAATTATATTGTGATTATAAGTGATAAAACAATACGGAAGACTGCATAATTGTGAAGTTTAACGAAAATGAGACATGGATTTCAGCATTTTTTTTGTCAGAAAAACCTTCAGATTTATGTGGTTTTATATTATCACTATTAACTCTAATACTCTTTGATAAAGCACACTGTAAATAGTTGCCTTCACAAGTCACTTAACATGTAAATTGGAGACCAACTGTATTTAATTTAATTTTATTTATGTCATTGTTCTTTAAAAAGGTTTGTGAGAGAACATTAGTACACAAGCAGCATCACAAAGTTCACTGACACCAGACGGGCTAGAAAAAACATTGTAAATCAAGACCTTTATCACAATGCCATGGTATATTGGTGTGTTTGGATAACAATAAGATGTTTGCTGATATCACAAAGTCTGTCACAATAAAATGTATATTCAGTTTAATTTACCAGTCTACACTTGATAGTATGCAATATCTCTCAATCTAAAAATTATTCAAATAGTAATTTAAATCACAAAAAAATAAAAAAAAATATATAATATGGCCATTTCTAAGCTTTTACAGACCCAAGGCATCTAATTTAAACAATTCTTTTAATTTGAAAAATAAGAATAAGAGTGGATCTGTTTACAAGTTTCCTCCTAAAGATGGCTACATGTTAAAGATTATAATATTAACCATTTATATGATATTTTAAAGTAAAACAGTGCGTTGTTGTATATAGTTGGAGAAAAGGTTGCAGCAAAGTATGAAAAAGGGTTGGAATACCCCTATATCTGAGCACAACATCTTGCATGTGGCAACATCAAGCTTTGCGAATACTTTTCTTCAGCAGTGCACGAAGGCAAATTTGTCGGTGTTGATGATAGGACATATGTGGCTAAATCAATTCTCTTCACAAGAATGAACTGTTTTGCATTTTTTGATTAAATCAAACAAATAAAAAAGATGTGTGTAGTTCTTGTAAAATAACCAGAACATTTCAAGAGTTATGATTACATTTGCAAAACACAATACAGCAGTATGGCAGAGGGTAACCATTTAATTTACTCCTATACACTAATTGATGATTTTGTTTCAGGGGCTACTTCCACCGGTACTCTACAGATTGCTTTTGAAAATGTTGCCCCTTTGAAAAAGAATGGCTTCATTAATAACAAGCTGGCTCATTAAGGTGTAAGTGCTCAAACACTTAATTTAGATCTGCAAACTTTTAAACACAATACAGGAAAGAAAATGCACTACACATCTACATGAATTCTACCTAAGCTGGAAAAAGACTGTTTACTTGGGTATTAAATCACCCTTCAAAAACAATAGCAGCATATTTCTCTTCAGTAAAAGAGGAGAATAAGAATAATCCTTGATTACTGTCAGAATTCTGGGTTAATGGTTGTTGTCTTTCGAATAGAGTCTTTGAAAAAGAACCCAATTAGTAAGTCACTTAAGCCAGATGGCATTCAATTTGTATTAGATAATAATTTTTAAAACCTTGGTGCATTTTTTTAAATCATGACATGCCATTCAAATCTCACATTAATTTGGTTTCTAGATTTTCCTTCTTTCATTTCCATAAATATAAAATAGTCAATGCCTTTGTTATTTCAAAGCTAAGTTATTGTAATTCTGTATTATAAAGGGACCCACAAACTGTATTTAAAAGTCTTTAACTTACCTGAAATGCTGTAGCAAGAGTTTTGATCAAAATCAAAAAGCAAGATCATATTTCTCCTATCCTAGCTTCTCTTTATTAGCTTCCTGTTAAATCCAGCATAGAAATCCTCCTTCTCACATATAAAGTCCTAAATAACCAAGCAACATCTTATATCAGAGATCTAATGATCCTTTTTTTTCTAACAGGACACTTCGCTCTCAGTCTGCAGGTTTAGTTGCAGTTCCTAAAGATTGTAAAAGTAGAATGGGAGGCAGATTGTTTAGTTTGCAGGTTCCTCTCCTTCTATAGGCTCAAGCTGCTGGAAGACATAGGGACCACTTTTCACATTTCAGATTCATTCAAATTCAAGCTTTAACTCTATGTTCTCTCAGCTTTTTTTTCACCATAGTAGCTTCATCTGGACTGGTTCTGTTTGGCTATGAGACAATACTGTAAGTAAATATCAGTTGGGTTGCTACCATCAACAAAATTATTCATATACAATTGAGTCTGGCCTATTTAAAGTGTTTAGCCCTGTTTCTTTCCTCGACATAGCTATGGGCTCAGCTTTTACTGTGATTAACTGTACATGCTCTCTTTCATCCCTTTTGCTTAGAAAACTGGTTTAGAGCTGATCTCCTTAACTGTTACTCCCCTAGATAGAGCAACCATGGGGCTATTTTACCGTTACCTTTTTCTAAAATACAAAGTATTTATGAATCACTGCTTCTATCTACTCTTGTCTTCTCACACCACCAGTAAGCCTTTGTAAAAAGCCACTCCCACTGAGCCTGTATTTCCTATTTACTGTTGCCACATGCATGCTTGGTGTGAGGGACACAATGCAAGCGAATTTCTATCGTTTCCACATTCTCACCAGAAGGAGTGAATCCTGAAACGTATTGTCTGTATTATCCGATTGAAGAGTTTCTGTAGAGTGCATTAAGATGACATGTGTTGCATATCAACACTATAAATAACTTAAGTTTGTGAAAAAATCATTAAAAGAGACATCTGAGAATAAACCATAACATTTCACTTCCTACAACTCTCTTGTTGTAAGAAAGATCAATTAATTAGAGAATAAGACAGTAGTCTGGAAATAAGCTGGAGATAAAGACAGAATGAAACAGCGGTAATAAATTAAAAGGGAGATGCATGCCTGTGTGTAAGAGTGTGAATGTCTGATTTGTTTTAGGTAATGGAGTTTCTGGAGGACTTAGTGAGCAGCTCATTTCAACCCGCCCCCCCCCCCCTTCAGTTACAGATGGCTCTGTCACAGTGCTAACCCATGAAACTATTATTCCACCCCACAATTAAGGAGAGATGCAGACTGAAACACTTTTATATGTGCATACAGCTATAAAGGTAGTCCCAGACATGCATACGTTCATCATTTTTCTGTACATCGGCTCATAAAACAAACTAAAAATATCACTCTTTACTTTTTGAAAAGTGTATTACATATTCTTAAAAACTGCAGAAAGATGGCAATCACAAACAACCCAAATAATTTACTAGCGAGGGCTGGAAGAATACATTAAAATCCTGGTACAGTACATACTTTAGGGTTAGTTGGCTAAATGTTCTGTCTACATCAGTGTGTGAAAAATGTACAAGATTATCTTTGTACTTTAGTCAGCAGCAAACAAAGAATGTTTAACATCAATCTTTATAATTTCTTGAGGTTCAAAAAATAACAGACTAAGTGAAATTTGTTAGATTTTTTTTTCAACTTATTTAAGGATAAACATATTTAACCACTATCTTGAAAGTTTAAGAACGAACCATTTAAAACAAAAAAAGCTTGAATTACCCCAGTGGTTTGTGTGTATATATCTATAACTTTAAACAGATATATAGAGAATGATAGGTATAGAGAGACAGACAGAGAGCAGCTTTGCCACAGTTAAAAAAAAAACTTTTTGTTTTCATTAATTTCTTACAAAAAACTTTCTAAAACATCACCCCAACCTCACACCTCAGAGAGACATTATAATGGGTGTTTTGTAAGAATGCTTAGTTGATTCAGGTTTGAAGTGACTTCTTGACATGTTCTTTTGTTTAATGAAAAAAAAAAAAAAACTAACTGTGGGTAATTTTCCCTAATTTTCATCCTTTTTGCATGGTGTTTATAATATCAAAAGAAATGCCATTAAATGGATGTACATGATAATATCTCTTCTCCTTTTCAGTTTAAATGCATATAATGTTAAAATCTGAAATTTATAATGTATCCTATTTCTTTTTTACTTTTGTGTTCCTTTTTTTATCAGTGATGAAGTGCTTAGATAAGTATTTGTACTAGACAAGCACAACCTCTAACACAAATATTTGTATATCAGTATATAACACCTAAGCAAAGTCCTGATCTCAGCGGAACATTTATGATCATAACAGATAGCGCTGATTTCAAAATCTATAGAGTAAACAGCTACCGGGTATCAAATAAGACAAACCAATATGGTTTTTAA